CACGCCGTATAGAGCGCTTCTAGTACGCGCGAGCGCGCGCTCGGGGTACGTTCCGACACGCGTATATCGCATAGACATAATATTGTGTTGTATGCGTATGCGTATGTACACACGTGTCTCTACGACGTCGTCGTCTGTACGGATGGCGATATTTTCGACGGGTAACTCTATATGGGAGAAGAACGGAGATATGTCGTCGTGTCCGCACGACTCATTTCCTTCTTTTCCGGTTGTTTTTAAAGATATTCGCCCGTTAGTCGAAATTTCTACGCCATACGAAAAGACGGTACAAGAGGACGACACGTGTTGTACGCTTAATACATACATAATATTCATGTTATGTACAACTCTGTTGTAGTGTTATTTGTACCCCTTGCACACGCGTATGCTATAGAAGCGCGATACGGATAGAATGCGCGCGTACACGAGAGACTTCGTCGGCACGCTCGTTTGTTATAAACGCGCAAAAATAATTTTGCGCGTTTGCCGCGCAAAATACACGAAGTCTCCGTGAGAAATGCGCGCTTTCTTTTTTTTATATATTTTCTTTAATAACATTAGCCATTATCATAACAATAAAGACGTATCGATATATATTTTATATATAGAGATCGTCTAATTAAAAAACGATTACCCTGAACGGTGAATCACTTGGCTCGTGGGTCGATGAAGAACGCAGCTAATTGCGCGTCAACTTGTGAACTGCAGGACACATGAACATCGACATTTCGAACGCACATTGCGGTCCTCGGATACTGTTCCCGGACCACTCCTGGCTGAGGGTCGTATCAATTTAAAAGACTGCTCGGTTTCCTCTCCGATCTCTGTTCGCGTCGTCGTATTATCTCTTTATCCGAGAGACGACGACGACGACGACGACATGAGAGAGGAGAATGAAACGTCGGAGCGTGTTGGATGTAGACGCGGCGGTACGACGCGACGACGCTAGTTATTATATATTTATTTATGTAATATCGTAAACGTCGTCGTCTTTGTCGTCGTCGCGGCATCTCAAAACGCGAAAGCGACGATTCGTTCGTCATACGAACGAATCGTAAACTCACACATAGAACGAACACGCGCGCTGTACGGATAAAAATCGTAATAGCACTACATATATATATATATATATATATATATATATGTATATATGCTGTAGTCGTTACGCGTTTCGAACTTGCGCTGCGATCGTCGTGTCCGAGAGAGAAATTATTTTTTTCGAGATAACGACGTCTGATCGCATATACGCGCTAAACACTAGAGAACGCTTTCGACTAGTAGTAGTATAGCAGCAGCAGCTATACGATTTAGTATTAGCGATCGCGTGTGACATATATATCTGTGTGTGGTGTTGTGTTGTATATTGTTAACCGACCTCAGAGCAGGTGAGACTACCCGCTGAATTTAAGCATATTACTAAGCGGAGGAAAAGAAACTAACTAGGATTCCCTCAGTAGCTGCGAGCGAACAGGGAAAAGCCCAGCACCGAATCCCGCGGTCGATATCGGGCGCCGGGAAATGTGGTGTTAGGGAGGATCCGTTTATCCCGAGGTCGCGCGGCGAGTCCAAGTCCTTCTTGAACGGGGCCACAGCCCATAGAGGGTGCCAGGCCCGTAGTGGCCGCTGCCGATCGCGGGAGGATCTCTCCTCAGAGTCGGGTTGCTTGAGAGTGCAGCCCTAAGTGGGTGGTAAACTCCATCTAAGGCTAAATATGACCACGAGACCGATAGCGAACAAGTACCGTGAGGGAAAGTTGAAAAGCACTTTGAAGAGAGAGTTCAAGAGTACGTGAAACCGTTCAGGGGTAAACCTGAGAAACCCGAAAGGTCGAAAGGGGAAATTCATTCGCGTTTCGGCCGTCGGCGATGAGCGGTCGCGCGACGGACGGCGTTCGCGCGTCGTCCGCGCCTTTCGCTTTTCGATCCGGCGTCGAACGCGTGCACTTTTCCCCTAGTAGGACGTCGCGATCCGTTGGGTGTCGGTCTACGGCTCGCGGTGGAGTCCGTGTACGATCGTTTCGGCGATTCGTGCTCGAACCCGCGATGTTCCGGCCGACTCGCTCGACGGTATACAGATGGCGCGAGGCCGCTACTTCTTCAATTAGCGTCCGACCCACGACAAGCACGTTCGATGCTAAGACGGCGATCGGACCTAGCGCCCGGTTCCGTCCCCGGACGACTGTTGGTCGTGCGGATTTCTCGGACAGACCTCGTTTGAAACGCCGATCTGCGACGCTATAGCTTTGGGTAATTTCAGGACCCGTCTTGAAACACGGACCAAGGAGTCTAGCATGTGCGCGAGTCATTGGGACATAACTAAACCTAAAGGCGCAATGAAAGTAAAGATCCGCCTAGCGCGGATTTAGGGAAGATGGGCGGCACGTCTATAAAGCGGCCGCTCCGCACTCCCGGGGCGTCTCGTTCTCATTACGAGAAGAGGCGCACCAAGAGCGTACACGCTGGGACCCGAAAGATGGTGAACTATGCCTGGTCAGGACGAAGTCAGGGGAAACCCTGATGGAGGTCCGTAGCGATTCTGACGTGCAAATCGATCGTCGGAACTGGGTATAGGGGCGAAAGACTAATCGAACCATCTAGTAGCTGGTTCCCTCCGAAGTTTCCCTCAGGATAGCTGGCGCTCGTCTGTGACGAGTTTCATCCGGTAAAGCGAATGATTAGAGGCATTGGGGTCGAAACGACCTCAACCTATTCTCAAACTTTAAATGGGTGAGATCTCCGGCTTGCTCGAACTAATGAAGCTGCGAGAATCGAATCAGAGTGCCAAGTGGGCCATTTTTGGTAAGCAGAACTGGCGCTGTGGGATGAACCAAACGTCGAGTTAAAGCGCCTAAATCGACGCTTATGGGATACCATGAAAGGCGTTGGTAACTTAAGACAGCAGGACGGTGGCCATGGAAGTCGGAATCCGCCAAGGAGTGTGTAACAACTCACCTGCCGAAGTTACTAGCCCTGAAAATGGATGGCGCTGAAGCGTCGTGCTTATACTCGGCCGTCAGCGGCATGTGCGGTCTCGATCCGCGTAAAAACGGATCGGCCATGAAGCTCTGACGAGTAGGAGGGTCGCGGCGGTGCGCGCAGAAGGGCTGGCCGTGAGGCCGTCTGGAGCCGCCGTCGGTGCAGATCTTGGTGGTAGTAGCAAATACTCCAGCGAGGCCCTGGAGGACTGACGTGGAGAAGGGTTTCGTGTGAACAGCCGTTGCACACGAGTCAGTCGATCCTAAGCCCTAGGCGAAAGCCGATGTTGATGTGGCGTTGTTTTATAAATATATGTATGTATGTGTGTATATATAAAGAACACGCCCGTCGGGCGAAAGGGAATTCGGTTCCTATTCCGAAACCCGGCAGCGGAACCGTACAATAGTCGGGCCCTCGCAAGAGAGTTCGTCGGGGTAACCCAAAAAGACCCGAAGACGCCGTCGGGAGACCAGGGAAGAGTTTTCTTTTCTGCATAAGCATTCGAGTTCCATGGAATCCTCTAGCAGGGAGATATGGTTTGGAATGCGAAGAGCACCGCAGTTGCAGCGGTGTCCTGGTCTTCCCCTCGGACCTTGAAAATTCGGGAGAGGGCCACGTGGAGGTGTCGCGCCGGTTCGTACCCATATCCGCAGCAGGTCTCCAAGGTGAAGAGCCTCTAGTCGATAGAATAATGTAGGTAAGGGAAGTCGGCAAATTGGATCCGTAACTTCGGGATAAGGATTGGCTCTGAGGATCGGGGCGTGTCGGGCTTGGCGAGGAAGCGGGTCGCGGCTGACGTGCCGGGCCTGGGCGAGGTGAAACGTTCTGTCGTATGCGTTCGCGCGTGTGCGGTAGGATTGCGGATCCGAACTCGGTACCGTGCCTTGGCCTCCCGCGGAACCGTCTTGCTGCGAGGCCCAGAGTGCGCTCGCAAGGGCGTTCTGGTGTCCTCTTCGGCCGCCATTCAACGGTCAGCTCAGAACTGGCACGGACCGGGGGAATCCGACTGTCTAATTAAAACAAAGCATTGAGATGGCCCCTGCGGGTGTTGACTCAATGTGATTTCTGCCCAGTGCTCTGAATGTCAACGTGAAGAAATTCAAGCAAGCGCGGGTAAACGGCGGGAGTAACTATGACTCTCTTGGCGGTCAAAGGTTCCTGACCTCCACGCGGTGACTGCTGGGCAACGCTCATCCACCCGCCTTACCTTTGGTTAGGCATTTGAACGAGGATGACGGCTAACTAGGAACCAGCCCCCCGATTACCCGGTCGGGGCCTGTCTGCGGACAGTCATAAGGGGTCGGTATGGAAACCGAGGGCGAGATACAGACCACCTTGTATCTTACCCCTTAGGGGAAGACATGCACTTGGCCCAGCCAGCCAAGTTGCATAGTATCACAGGCTACGACTCGAATAAACATAGCCTCGGAAGATCGGGATGGTGATGGGCCCACACCATCCCAAAATCCTAGACCAGGGGCCCATGATGATGGAAATGGCGATAACAAGGACATTGAGATTTTGCTCCCCTATATAGAAAGGTCATGCCCCCTATGCCTCAAAAGAAGCATTAACATCCTGCACATGACCTTAAATGATGAAATAAAACATGTAAAATCTGATCACAAGGATATACAAATCAGATTCAAATGCAGGATGTGCTCAAAAATGTATATAGCAAAACATGCGGCACTGTGTCACGTCCCCAAGTGCCCGGTGGGAGCTGCTGCGGCAGCCCCACCTCCAGAGTCAACAGACTCAGAGACTGACGGAGTACCAAGTAACAGGCCTATACCCGAATCGGTAGGCGTGGCCTGCCCCGATTGCGGCGAAAGGTACTCCGGCCGCGGTGCACTAACACAGCACCAGCGGCACCGGCATCCACTCACCCGAAACGAAGCTAGGGCAGCGGGTACACGGCGGTCTCCTCGACAAAGAAGATTGGTTATCTTTACTGAAGAGGAGGAACAAATAATGATGGAGTGCGAACTCCGGTACCGGGGTGAGTTGCGTATAGCAATGCGCATGCGGGAGTTGATACCAGAGAAAACTTTGAAACAACTCCGGGACAAAAGGGCCCAAAAATGCTACAAAGAACGGCGTGAAAGGTACCTCGCAGAAAGAGGGATCACAGCGAGCGCTAGTACTGATGATGACAGTACAGAACCAGTATCCACAGACACAGGGGATGGTAGAGCTACCGTCCCCCAAGAAGAAGCGCCCGAAACCAACAGCTGCGAGGAAGCGGGAGTAGGGGGTGGCTCCCCTATCCCAGTCCCGGAGCTACTCGACGTATCAGCAGTAGCTGCCATTGCAGGGGGTGAAAATAACGTTAATAATATCACCCCCACCGCCGAAAACATAAGTCCGACTCAGACGCCTGACATGTCAGAGAGGGTACTGAATGTCAGTGTAGATGAGTTGGTATCGCCAGCAGCTTCTCCAGAAGAGACACTTTGGAGACAGGATGTTGCTCAGACTGCCCGTAGCTGCAAGTTGACTCGAGCGGCACAGCAACATCTGGAGGTGAACACGGTCACCCAGCTGCTTAGAAATGCAATCTCCGAGGCTTGCGATTTGCCTATGGGGCAGCCCCAATCGCAAATAGATACTTTACATGATAGAGTCACCGCTCTCTTCGTCAGCGAGGAGCGGGGAGTTGCAGGGCGACGAAAGGGAAGGCGTAGAGGACAAAATAAGAGGGGTAACAGACGGTACCTCTACGCCCGTACCCAGGATATTTACAAAAAAGAGCCAGGCATTCTTGCCAAGCACGTCCGTAACAACGTGGACTGGCTGGAGGAACCAGGGGTAAAAGCTCCAGCCCAAGACGTGCGGGACCTGTACAAAAAGCTTTGGGGCACAAATCCGTCGGAAGTACAGGTGCCCTTCCTGGGAGAGCCCTCCGAACCGGCACTTGGGTTAGGTACTGTGCTAACCGCCGTGACGGTGAAAGAGGTGAACACGCGTCTCTCTCGGATGAAAATGTCCACAGCACCGGGTCCCGATGGTATTAAAAAGGGAGACATTAAACGCGTTCCTGGTGCAAACGAAGTCCTCCAGTTATTTTTCAATTTAATCATGATAAGCGGTAAGATTCCTACCGCCTGGAGGAAGAACCGAACTACTTTGATCCCTAAAGAGGGTAAGGACGGTATGTTAGCTGAAAACTACCGTCCAATTACAATCTCTTCTTTAATGTCGAGAATTTACTTTGGCATTATTGACAGCAAACTTAGGGCAAAAGCACGGTTCTCACCCAGACAAAAGGGCTTCATGAACGAATCTGGGTGCTTCAACAACATCCACATCCTCAATGAGCTGCTGAGGCACTCAAAAGCCAAGAATGGCCTGGTCGTAACGCAGCTGGACGTGTCCAAAGCATTTGATACTGCCGCACCAAGCTATAGGACACGCGTTACGTCGCAAAGGTTTTCCCGAACAGGTGGTACGTATCGTGGAAAATGCATATGAGGATGTAACCTATTATAGAACTTAATCAGGCGCCAATCGAGATACGCCTCCAGCGGGGGGTCAAGCAAGGTGACCCCCTCAGCCCATTACTATTCAATCTAGTTTTGGAGCCCTTGCTAGATAAGCTGGAAACGAGACC